GGTGGGGGGGGGAGGTTTAGTTGCAGAGTTTAGTTGCCAGATCGGCCTAAACCATGACACTGTAAGACTTATATTCTGACATTTTCAATGTATTATGTGGCCATGAGTTGCCACACCAAACTTGCTCAATTCACAAGTCAAAACAAGACTTTATTATAAGGCTAACAGTGCAACCACAGTCTATTGTCTGCAAGTTGGCCACTGCTATTACTTCATACACCAACACCAAGAGGGATGACTTTGGACCTAGGGCTTCTATTACAGTTCTCTTGGTGAACTACGAAGGAAAACAGGATTTGCTTTGTAGTTCTGCAGTGTATTGAGTCATTGATGTTAATGGTAATGACTAGTTTTGTCTGAGAGTTTGAGAGATGTGACTTCAAAGACACACGCTGTAGAAGCAGACACGTAAAATAACCAGGTGTCGTTTCCATAGGATATTTTTCACCTTAAATGTACATGAAAGTTTATGTATTCGGCTTACTATTTATTAAATATTCAGTATTGCAGATAGAAATTGAGATGTTTTCACAGCACATTAGGGCTCAAATGTTCTCTAATGAATTAAGGTTTGTTTATAGTTATGGTCTCCTGAACTACTGCAGAGGACACATGCCCACTATGAAAAATGTCTTCGTTACGCTAGGAAGTCTGCTAGGAAATATTGTTTCTGTTGTTTGGAGATGGACACTACTGACATCAGCCTGATTTTTCTATGTTTTTCTCCTTTTTTTTTTTTCCCTTTGGCTTCCAATACTTAGTTGTAGGGCAAAATTTCCCACCTTTGAAGCAGCTGATTCTGCATTATGGCTGATTCGAAAGTTCAAAGAGACGCTCAGTCATACAGCTAGTATCCAAACAAATCTTCATTTCTTTTAAATTCTTCACAACAGGAAAATTTCCATTAATTTTTTTTTTTCTATGTAGCTGACATTGTTTAAAGGTTGAGTAGAAATATTCTCATCCCATGCATTATTTTCACGACTGATGCAGGGTGTAGCTGGAGATCAGGGCTGAGCCAGCCCTGTGCCTTACTGTTGCCATCAGGTGTGGCACCATCCGCCTGTCCCTCCTTCCCACCTCCCCTTTCCTCTCCCAAACCATGCCTTACTCAGGCTGGGACACACCCTCCCTTCTTCTGACTCCTGTGCTCATCTGACTGCATGGAAAACCGGCGTGACTAAAATGCGATTACCTTTTTTGCTGGGTGAGTTTTCTGCTGGGAGCCAGCTCCTGGTGCGCTCGGCCAAGCACTGAAGCCCAGCAGAGACAGCAGCAGCAGGACCCCACGCCTGGGAGGAAGAGGAGGTGAGGAAGAAGCAGATCTTCCTATTTTACCTGCAGCCAACTTGCTTCTGACCTAGCTGTGTCACATCTCTACACCTTCTGAAATGACCTAGTTAATTTAGTTTTTTTCATGGTGTAAAACTACATGAACTTTTAAGAAAATGGCAGAGTTAAGGCTTGAGTTTCTGCAATTACTATGTTAGCCCAGAGTTGGAGTAACCCCATTGATTTTAGGATGGCTATTCCACATTCACAGCTGTGCCAATTGGTGAGACCAGCAAAACTGATTTATGAGAGCTTTACGGTAAACCTCGATTTTGGAGTAACTAATTTCAGCTAGTTTAGCTGCAGAGTTGTTTCTGGTTTGTTTGAGTTGTTTTTAATTGATTTAGGAGAGAGATTGTTTATCATTCCCTATAAATGGTAACGTCCTTGAAAAGAAGTGTTTGAAAAGACTTTTTAAAAGATGCTTTGAAGTTATGGTCCTTAAAAAGCACATACCTAAAAAGTTTGCAGGTGTTTATAAATTCTGCCTGTGCATCAGGAGAGTCTGTGTGGACTCAGACCATATACTTCTAGGGTCAGTAGTAAAAAGAATACTTATATTCCTTTCAGCTAATACTGTTTTCTGAGAATAATGACAGAACTACAATCCTAGAAAGATGACAGTAATAAAAGGCCCTCCTCCTAGGCAACGAAAGATACTACCAAAGATCAAGTAGCTTTTATTCGAGGAGTAAATTTAGCTCGCATGTTTTGATGGTTGAAAACTGTTGATATGAGGTATTGTAAAACATGTAAGCATTCAAATAAAATTAACTGCATGGATCAGATCTACTGCAGGCTTATGGTTTTGGTGTTGAATATTTCTTTCTTTTTGTTAATGCTCTCCAATGAAAATATGTATTTAAAATATATTGCTAAGCATTTTGTTTTATTTTTGTGATCCTAATTGCCTTGAAAAAAATCCATCAACTTAAAAAATGTATTTTAAAATCAAATCTGTTGAAGGCACTTGACATAGTATACCTCTCTATACATATATTTTCTGTTTTCATAGCAGCATATTTATAGACAAAGTTGTTAGTTAAAAGATTTTACATTTATAGCTGAGCATTTGCTTCATTGATCCTGGAAGGGCTGGGGGAACCAGCTGGGGATGATGACTCAAGAGAACCTTTTAGAACATTTTGCCTCCCAAATCTATTAGAAATAGGCATATGAAAGGAGTCTGTGATTACTCTGTGATTAGTTCTGTGATTACTCATTTTAGAGGCAGAAGTTTTATCCTTTTATTGATCTACATTTAGGCTACATGCTCTTCTCTTCCCTAAAACTCTCTTTGGTAACTGTAGATTTCTTCCAAACCACCAACAGAAGTCAGCACCATGTCCTTCCCTAAGCAAGCACTCTTCAGAGAAACATAAACATTAAATAAATTAAAATTATTTAGCATTAGATTTGAAGGAAAATATAGAGAATAAACCACTGCTGTGATGTAATTTTCACAGAATTCTACATCATCCCAAGGAAATACCTTTGCTAACACATTTATTCGAGGATTTTGCTTACATTTTTTTAGTTAACTCAGTCACCCACATGTCCAGACATATACTCAGTGTCTAATCCTCTATGGATGCTTTCATTGCTGCTCGTTTGTAGAGTATGAAATCGAGTTTTATGTTAAGTAGGTGGGTTGCTGATTTGCCAGCATGCCATTCTGGATTGGGCATTTATGAATTGTTTTTAAGCACCAAAGTGGACAATGAAAGCTTTATATCATTTCCCCAATTAGCAGTAATCATTCTTGTTAAACTTTGGTAAAGAGCTGTAGTATGCAATGAATGTAAAGTATTCATTCCTGGGCTGTTTCTCTCTCTTCCCCCACCCGCATTTCTCCGTTTTGTCAAATAGTCTTATTCTGCTTGTTATTTCTGTTCATATTGCAGATTGAGAATGTTGATGTCTGCCTTAGCTTTCTGGCAGCCAGAGGCGTAAATGTCCAAGGTCTTTCTGCGGAAGGTAAGAGAAATAGATCATCACGACAAATAATGGGATTTTTCTTCTGAAAACTAATTTTCTTAATACATATTATTAGCACCTAAATACCAAACTTTGGCTGTCTTGAACAGCATGCAAATATAGATTAGTGATAGCAAATGAGAGAGAAGTTTAGATTTCCTATTAATTTTCCCTTGAAATTGAACCAAGAAATTCAGTGTTTATGAAGCTTGAGACAATGTTTTAAAAAATGTTTTAATAGTATTAATTATTTCATGTTATCTCCACAACATCAGATAGATACAGAGTTTCCCAAGCGTACTTTTAAACTTGTTGATATATGGGATAACAAAATGAATATGAGAATCTTGCTCAGTTAAGTAAACCCAGGGAAGACTATTTGTTTAAACAAATTTATTATTGGTAGTAATGTTGTCAGAATGAGCCTGAAAGTCATTGTATTGCTTTGATGTCATGAATTAAGTGAAAGAGTGAATGATCTTGCTGCTTATCTTATAGCCCTTTTTGCTGTATTAGTCACCTCAAGTGATTGTCTAATACAGTTATAACTAAGTTAATAAAGATATTACATCAAATTTAAAATACCGATTGTCTTAATTAGTATGTAATATTTGCCTTATTAATATAAAATGGTAAGATGTATACTTTATTTTGTAAATTAATAAAATGTATACAAGCGTTTGTTCTGTAACTAATTAAGCAGTTCTGCAAGGTGCTGTGGACCTTCAAAACCCCTCTGACCTCTATGGCAGCTGAAGGTAATAGGTACTAACAAGACACAATCCTATACTTTTATATTCCTTATAGCACAACTGAAAGCTAGAAGAAAAAATACATTTTTTCCAGATATAATAATTTCAGTTGAATTTTAGAAGATATCTAGAGAAAAAACTTTGAGAAAAAAACTGTTCTATTTTAAAATTCACTCAGGATTGTTATCTTTCACCATTTCCACCTTTCTAGTATCTTAGCAGAAGTGTAATATGGCCATGATATGTACTGCCTACTCACTTCGATTGTCTACTTATGGAAAGCTCCTTATCTGATTTGAAAGAACCTCTGTGTATACTGTAGATATGTTGATGCATGAGAACAGTGAACATGTACATGTTATCATTCATCTCAAAGCTGTTTAGAACTTGAATTTTTTAGTGCAGCCTATTTTTACTTGCATATGAAATAACAGTCAAGTGTGTGAATAACGTTAGTTTATTTCATGAAAACACCGTTCATTGTTTAATACCATAACATGGCGCACGACACTTTTTCTCTGTACTTTGTTAAATCAAAACCTGAGTGCATTCTGTAATACTTTACTTTATTCATACCTTTGTTTTGCTTTCAAAAATCGTTTCTAATAGGTTCTAAGCGTCAACTGTGTAGCATTAAGTTCCTATACTACTAAAAGTAAAAAGTCTACGTAGTGTTAGATGCAAGGACTATTTTTTTAATCTTTCATTAATTTTTAAAACAGAATTTTCATAAGGCAGACCTTGCATTCTGAAGTAAGATTAAAACTAGTTTTCACGTTTTGCAGTTGGTCATGATCTGGTGTAAACCCATTAATATCTTTGTAATTATATTAGTTCAAGGTGTCACAGAAGTGTGATTCACTTAAATATACCATTTTTAGCATGTACAATCCCGGGTATTATGTTTTCTCTTGAGGAAAAGAAATTGAGAAAAATAGACTTGATTTTTTTATGTGATGAAATTGTCAAGTTACCTTCCTATTTTTTTGTCAGCATATTTATGTTTAAAATCAACTAAGTTTAGAAACCATAAGTATTTTAATAGGCTTTGATAGATGTGTCTTGTTCCTACTGGGTCATTTATTAAAGACCAGAAAGTTTCTGGAATAGAAAACCATGAGCTTAACAAGGTTTGAAGATTTCACAGTTTCCCACCTCATTTCGACACTTGAGCAAGGAAATCTAGAACAAAAGTAATTTTCAAATCTTGACTGCAGAATCCCTTCTGGAGAACCTAAATGATAAATAATAAGCCAGTTATTACAAAGAACGACCATCCCCACCTCCCTTCCCTGAAAGTGTTTAATACATGAATACTAGAAGTTTCTGGATTTTTTCTGTTTAAGAGAAATCTTCCAACTTTAATTTGTTTAAAAGTAGGAAAGAAAAAGAAGTTCCAAACAGATAATTCTTCTTTAGAAATAGTAAAAAATATATTTTAACACAAAAAGAGCAAATTTTAAGATAAAAAAATAATGTGTGGGATTTAGCAAACAAAAGGTTCTTTTTTCTGAGAATTAAGTGATACAAAAACATAAGAATAAATAAACTGGTATCAGGTACAGAAAAATATTTTAAAATCAGAGCAGCTTAAAGATGGATAATTGTGTGTTTTTCTTGTGTTTTTTTTTTTTTTAAGATAATTTTAAATATAAGCTTTCTGTGTTACTTGATAATGATCTTCCTTGAAATCAACGTGGCTGCAAAAGTCATTGTTGCTTAAAAAGCTTTCTAGTTCTGAGAAAGTTCTCATGCATATCTCTGGTGGTCTCATGGGGAATCAAAGATCCTGCACCACCTTCGTAGGGAAGATGAGAAAGTATGGATATTTAGAACAAATTTCCATTTTGCAAAATATATTCCAGTGTCCAGGACTGTGTTTGCTTTTGAAGAACAGGTTGAGAGCCTTAGAGCTCCAGTGCTCGCTGGCCTGTTAGTGTGTACTGACATTTCACTTAATCCTATTGAAAGAAAATTCATGGTTTGAATACTTGAAAGTATGGTTTAAAGGACATGAATTTGACGGTCATTGTTTATAAATTCTGCTTTAAAAATTACTTAAGAAAGGCTATTTAGCACATACAGCTCAGTATTTAGATTTGCAGAATACAGAAATATTGCAGTGTTGCATGTTAAGTTACAAGGTTATAGGCCTAATGAAAACCTTTCACAAGAAGTTCAGTGCCAAAGAAAATTCATAATAAAGTTATGAACAGACCTAAGTGCTGCAGATAATTTGATTAAAGCCTTCTGAGGCTTCTTTTTTGACAAAGACCCTTTATGAGCAAACAATAACATTATCTTTTTAAAACCTTTATCTCAGGCTGGGGAAAGACTAAGAAAGGAATGAGAGACATGAGGATGCTGCTGTGGCTCACCAGAGTTTCATATGAGTATCTACTTCAGCCTCATGTGAAAGCTGTAGCTTTGTAGTCTTCATTAGTCGGTAGTAGCAGTGTAAAATAGAAAGCTAGAAAATCATGTAGATAGAAAGCTCAAAGATGTAATCATGAACCTTATGGTCACCTTTTCTATTAAGTGTTTCTACTAAATTCCTTCTCTTGTGTTCGTTGTAAATTCTTGGAAATGGATATGTGCTCATCCACAGCACTGCAGCCATTTCCTCTTTCCAATTTTTCTACAAGTCACTGTTTACTCCCAGCATGCACAGAATTTGCCCCAAAAGCGAGAAGAATAATTTAAAGCCATGAGGTAGAAGGGGTGTGTACCTGATGCCAGAAAAGAATTAAGATTTTTCTGACTGCCCCTCTGCTTACTGAGACTATCTGTACTGTATTGAGGCAGGAGCAGTCATTTCAGATTATGTATATTATTTAAAGTTTGGTGTGCTTTTCTTTATGACTGTGCACGTGACTTATCATGAGGACATTATGGAGATATGTGTTTATTGCAACAGTAATACATAAATAAGCAAGTATTATAACAAACAATAAAGTATCAGTGATACCTAACATGTCCCTGATATTAGAGATAAATGAGGAGATATAAGGTACAGACATGTATAGATATAGGTAGGTACAGATATGTTTTAGTATAAAACCTGTACAAAACTGAAGTCTAAAACCACAGTGTTTTCACTTCTTTTTCTTTTTCTTTTTTAAAAATAGAAATAAGGAATGGAAATTTGAAAGCCATTTTAGGGCTGTTTTTCAGTTTGTCTCGGTACAAACAGCAGCAACATCATCAGCAACAATACTACCAGTCGTTGGTGGAGCTACAACAGCAAGTCCCTTCACCTCCAGCTGAAATCAGCCAGTCCAAAACACACCAAGATATGCAGTCGAGGTAGGTTGAAAAGTTAATTTTATCAAGTGCAGAAGCTTTTTATTTGTCTGTTCAAAAAATACAAGTTTTTGCAGAAAAATTAGATTACTTGTAAAAGACTAAAAAGACTGGCTTTTTATCTTTTTTTAAATCTCTTGTTGGAGAGATTGTTTTAGATTCATTTTTTAAATGAACAATTTTAAATGATTAGCCAAATATATGGGGAAAAGGTACAATTAATACTTTCATGTTTTATAAACTCTTTGCATCCATACACATTCTGGGTTTAAGTGCCTAATTCTATTTGAATGTTTTATGAAAGGGAGAAGAAATGGCCCTAATCTAGTTGTTTCTTTTAACCGGTCAGTTTATGATTTACTTTTAGGAAAGCAAAGCACTCAGCAGAATCTTTAATTGCTGAATTACATTGCTGTCAGGCTGAAGCTGAAAACATATTTTGAGAAGTTAGTTGCTTACTGGCCGTGACAAAAGACTCTGGTTTAAACACAAATAGCAATTAAATTGAAAGGGTGTTAGCCATGTAAACTTTATAGAGGAAGTTAAAAAAAAGCCATTCACTTGTAGGACTATGTAAAGAGTAGCTTAATGAAGAGCTTTATATACACTGCTTTGTTGGGTTTAATACTTGTTTCATGTATTATTCGCTTGTTTAAAATTTTTTCTGTACTTCCTGAACAATTGTATGCCTAGAATGTGATAAAGCAATGATCTGGTATGGATTAAGAGTATTAGACTACAATAATGAAATTTTGGTTCTTGAGTCCATTCATATTTAAATTACCTTTTCAGGTTTGTAGTAAACATATTTCTTCTTTAATTGAGAAAACTTTTCACTTTTCAGCCCAATAGAAATCTTTGTCTTAAAACTAGGAATGTTGTAAAAATATGTTTATGGGAATATGTTGCTGATGGCATTTTAGTTACCTCATTTGATACAAAAATTAAGATACACTTGTGTTTGCCTTGGACATTGCAATGTGAAATGCATTTTTTTTTCTCTGCTACTGAAAATTAATGTCTTTGAATGTTTTCTCTGTGAAATTTACTATTAACATGTAATCTAGGGAATTATTGTGTGATCCTAGAAGAATCTGACCACTCTCAACATTTTCTGAAGTTGAATTTCTGCTTTCTGAAGGATATTTAATACTGCATAAGAGAAAATAACATCTTGTTATTCAGAAATTAAATGTTTTTCCTATTATAAGGAAGACATTTTGAATGTAGGTCTACAAGTGTTCACTTCTTTAATCAGTGGAATTAAGGGCTTAGCCAGCTTCATGTAAATACCTTTGGTTATTGGGGGATTTTATAATTTAGTAAAAGAACTGAAACATTTCCTGCTTTTCTAATTTACCCATGGTGAATTTTTAATTAAAAAATAGATACCATGTTCCTTTGTACATCACCACTGTTGCAAGGAATTCTGTCCGAAAAACCTTGGCGCAAAGCAGTTGTTTACTATTTGGAAGACAGTGATTGCACACTAGTCCTTTGTCTACTCAGGAATGGTAGGCATAGAGGGAATGAAGATTTTATAAAGCTTTCTTTTCATTATAATTCCCCAAGATTCCATGGTCCTGCAGAGCCTTTTTTTCCTCTTCTACTTCGCTATGTTTAAATACACCTCATTCTGATGAAAGGCAATCATCCCACTTCCAAAACCCAACCCGAGCATTCATGCCTTCATAAAGTGACATCTAAGGCTGGTTTAACCAAATTTGTACTACCATGAGTGTGCTCTAGACCTTCTACTTCAATGCCAGGAGTTTAAAATAATTTCATTCTTTGATTAAATTTCTATTCATAGCTGTATTTCAGCTGCAAAGTGTTTCTATGTAAAAAATTATTACACTGAGATTGATACCATCTTTCTTATTCCCTATCTGTAAACTGAAAGCAAGAATTTTTCTGTTTGCTTTCACATATATAGAAGTTCAATGTTTGTCACTATAAACTTCTGTACTACCTGAGAGAGTATGGTTCTCTCTATCCATATATTTTTCAGTAAAGCCTTTAAGGATAAAAAAAAAGTCCCTGCTTCTAAAAGCTTTTTTCTGCATGAAAGCCTTCTATATTCTGCTACAAATATGTCTAGTATTCTGAGCTGCTAGCAAAACAAGGAGCTCCAGGACTTAGAAACGAACAGAAATATATTTTTTTTTTTTAATACTATTTGTTTTTTTTCATTTGTCGCTGTTTTGAAGAAGTAATAGGAAATTAGCATAAAATAATGTCCCCTTAGAAAAATGACTACATTTGAAAAAAAGGTTTTCCATGAATATTTGGGCATATACAAGCATACATTGATATGAGCTCTCTGTGGTAAACTTAGCAACCTTTCTTTTCACAGTAGTCAGTTAATTTTTTTTTCCCATCAAAGCAAATATTTTGGAAAATAATTCAAAATTATTTCCCAAACAGCTTTTTAGTTTTAAGCTGTTAATGACTAAATAAAAGTTTCTGTTTAGAAAGAAGCCAAAATATGAAATTAGAAAAGAAAAGATGCCTTTGATGGGATTCATCTTGCCCCTTGCCTGCCTTTTGCTATCTGAAATGGGGACAGGTAGCTTACATGACTCCTGAGACTGATTTCTACGATATGATTGCTTTCATGACAACTGTGTCTCAGCATTCATTACAGAAGGAACCAACATGACTGACTGATTGACAGGGCAGTAGTTAATGATTTAGAAGGTCTGAAGGAACTCATATGGCTGCTCAAAGGGACACTTGAGACCTTTCGATATTTTTGGCAAAAAGTTTCATACAAAGGCTTATACTTTCCTTCCATTGAATGGAGAGTATTGAAAAATGATAAAATCTAAGGTTTATAAAAATATCACATTCTTCACTTTTGTGTGTGAAATTATTCACTCAATATGTAATGTAACTACTATCAATAACAGAGCAATTTTACTTTTTTTAAAAAATGAGCTATTTTATCCTTTCATAGTGAGTGTTAATCTTTAAGGCAATTTATTATTACGTGTTTATTGTGCAGCTTTGCCTCTCTTTATTAGCCTGTTGCAGTCCTGAATAGGCTTTTAAAAATTCTTAATACTTTCTGTTTTCTAACATTTTACACTGTGAAAAGGTTCATGTGTAGAAACCTTAATGAAGCAAATTACTCATGGTGTATGTTGGAAAAATTATTTGTCAAATGCATATAACAGATTATTTTCCATTAGTTTGATCTGTGGTCCTTTATTACCTAGAATTAGTTCTTTCAGTTTTTTGAGAGGAATGACAAAAACTATCTTATTCTTATGGCAGAAGCCAGATAATGAATATAGTACCAAAAAACTGAATGGCACATTAATCTTTATTCAATAAAGGCAAAAATCTTCAAACCTAATTTGAGTAAGGTTTCAAGTGTATTGTGGATATTTTATTTTACTTGAAGACTCATATATTTCTACTACTGTTAGATACCTGAGAAATAAAGCTAACTTTTTGATGCACTGTATACATTTAAGTGCGTTTGGTATATACGTGTTTGTATGTATGCAGGCATGTAAACAAAACCAAAACATATACACTGCTTTTTATAGACTTTGTACTTTTATAAAATGTTCAGTAAGCAATCACATTTCGTGTTGTAATTTAGATCTTTGAAGCTATGTCTTAATAATTGCATTTGCCTTAGGTTAGATTATTCCATTGGCAAGTTATGTACTTTGTTGCTTTCAGCTAAGGTATAGAAAGCATATGGCTAAGTTTCAATTTGATTTCCTAGAAGGTAAAAAAGCCATTGTGTGTGCTTTATTAAACAAGTATGAAAAGGCAAGGTGATGCTTTCCACTGTTTCAGAGGGAAATACGGATTGTACATGGGAGAGGGAAGTACTTCTGTGAAGTCACACGGAAGATGGTCAGGGAACAGAATCGGTAGCATCCAGGCCCTGCTGAAGACAAAGGAAGTTTTGTATGTACAGAGCTAGTGTATCACTCTCCTAATTTGAGAGAGAGGTCCTGATAATGACGATGACGATGATAGTGCTCTCATCCTGATTTCCAGGTTATAATAGCCTCAGTAATGATCAATGTCTGTGATCATTACTGTGTCTGAGCCCGTTTGGCATGCCACAGAAGCCAGCCTACTTTAGCATTAACCTCAACGAGAGAGTGTTTGGGCTCTTTGTCAACAAAAGCTGAAAAAGGCACAAAAAATAGTGTCAGGGCTCCACAGCTTTCATAGCCAGGTTGTTTTCATATGGTAAACAAACAGAAGCCCCATGGGAAGGTTGTAATCAGAACATCGTGAGACTGACAGGATTAGGTTTGTGCAGAAGTGGGAAGCTAGTTGTCCTTGGATGACTATGCAATTAGTGTCTCCTGCAAGAGACAATATGGATCAAGAATGTAATTAAACTGATTTCTGGAGGAGCCTTTTTTCTTAGTGTAAAGTTTGCATAGGAGGATAATGAATTGTCTACAGCAGGATCCAAACAAAGTTGTCTAAATCTGGTCAGTGTGGCAGCACTTTAACATTCCTAATCCCATGTAATCTGTCCATAACCAAGATCAGAATTGTGAAAATTGTGCACACAGAAGAGGAGCAAGATTCTGCATGTGAAAGAGTATAATTGGCCTATCTAATCCTAAGGCCAAAAGCAGCATTTCAAATTAAATATAAAAAGAACGAAGGAAGTTGGTTTCTGGTAAGTGATATTTCATTGCAAAGAATATGCTTTATTTGTGTAAGATTATGATTTCATACCACTAAATGTAAAAAGCTCTTAAAATTATTTAGACGGTTAGAGGAAAAAATCTACGGTAAATAATAAATGGTAACCTAAGAGAAAGAATGGTTTCAGATGTGATTTCTTATTTCTTTTTATCCTCAAATTTCCCATATTCTTGTCCTACTAACTGTGGGAATTGAATACTTCAAAATCAGAGGTAGGCACTTCACTCTTTAGTAATGACTTTGTTGCTGCTCTGAGATTTAGTTAAAAAATGCAGTGCTGGTGGCCTTATTTAAATCTGTCAGTACAG